AAGGCTTCTCAGAAGCACCCCTGCTTCTTAGGAGGCCCCGGCCTTGCGTCTACGGAGAAGGCCCGCGCCGTCTAAGGAGCAGGGGTGCTTCTAAGAAGCCCTCCCCCCTCCCCCTGCCCCCCTCTGCGCGTTGCCGGCGTACTGCGGCACGTCGGAGCATGACCTTCCCAGCCGCTCTGGCACGAGCGATGCCGATGGCGAGCAGGCGTATGCTACACCGCCTCTTCGCCAGCCGATCCTCCTCCTCCCCTCCCCCCCGCCCTCCCCGCGACCCCTCGGCCCATCCTCGAGCTGGGATGCCCCGGTGATCGGACCCCTGCATATAGGCCCCATCAGCCTCGGCCGTGACCTCCTGGATCAGAAACAGCTGACATCGATTTCTCCCCTCATCGACCCTCGGCAACGCCAGTAAAATGAGCGTTCGGAGGTCCGGGCGGCATTCCTCGGATCGGCACTGCACCCCCTGTCTGGCGCGAGGAGCGCGCCAGGGGCGGCGCAGAGGCGCCGCCAGGGGCGTCCAGCGCCGATCCACGAGAACTGCGCGGACCACCGCCGAAAGTGTGTGGCCTGTCGGCCCTCCTCCTCCCCTATCGGCCCTTGGCCAGTCCTCGGGCGCGCCGAAGAGCGCATCATGGCTCGCGGCACGAGCGCGGACGGCTGCGGGTCGGGAGGCTTATGGAAAGAAAAAGCGAGCCATGGAGTCTGGGAGGTGGCATGCCCCCGGCCATGACATTTCCCCCCTCCGACACTCCATCCCCCATCCTCGACGCCTGGACGGGCCTCCGGCGGCCGTTCGGGGCGATCCCGGGCACCCTTGGAAAGCGATCGACGAGGCGCAGCTGCTGGAGAGCACCCCGAAGCGAGAAAACTTCCCAGAACCACCGAACACATCCAAAAACCGCCGAACATCGACCAACGTTTCGTCCTGAGTCGTTCTTGTTACAGCCCACCAGTATAACAAGGATGCTCGGTAAGGATGCAAGGGCCACCGAGGCTGGCCATCGAAGGTCGCTGAGGATGGGCCTAGGGGGCAAGTGTGCAAGGGCAGCCTGGGAATATTGCTCATCCGTTGTTACTGTCGACAACCTACCCAACCACCCCAAGCGTACAAGAAGACACAAGTTTCGGGTTGGGGGGGGGTGTACGGGTTCCACATGTGTGTTTTTGTTCTATGTTTCCCGACCCCCCACTGGAAATCGAGGGTAAATTTGGGCCTTCGGGTTGGGTTGGGGTGGCTTGGTGGATGGTGAACTGTGGGTGTGGACTAGAGGAAGAAACAACGCCATAAACATAAACGTTTGGCGCTTCGCGCGAATTTCTTGGATCTGCGGCCGGACCCCCTCCCTGGTGCGTCCCCAGCGCAGGTCCAAGAAATCCGCGCGGATCGTCAAAAGTTTATGCTCATGGCGTGTTTTGCTTCTTCGATGGACGGCCACGGTGCGAGGCCAATGTTTATACACCACCACCGCCCGCAACAGTAATTTATCGCAAAAAGGGTTAGGGGCAGGGTCATGCCAGACGACGCTGCGACGCCACGGCGAACAGGAGCGCGGCGCAGCTCGCAGGCGCCGTGGCATGGGGAGTTCTTGGAGCAGACACAGAACTTTTTGGTGGTGGTGTATAAAAAATCGCTCATCTTGGCAACCAGCATCTTATACACCACCACCGCGCGTGCTTTGATGAATTCTGTTTCGGCCCTGAAGGGAGAGCGGGCAGCCCCGTTGCCGTTGGCGGCGGGAGGGGGACTGCGGGCTTTTCACCAGAGCAAAGCTGCACCACATCGCATCGTAGACTATTCTCGATCTTGGTGGTGGTAGTCATATACTGTGCTCGGACACGGGGCCCAGGGAGGGCCCTGGGAGAACAGGCCCGCGCTCTGCCGTCCGGCTTGATGTTGAGGTCCAGGAACCGGGTGAGCCTCTGCCTCGCGTCGCTCGCCTGGCGAGGTGCAGCAGCAGCGGGGGGGGAAGCCGCTCGGGGTGGGGAGGCGGCATCGACCCGGCACCGTCACCTGATGTTGAGGTCGAGGAACAGATCTGGAAATAGGAAAGAGGTGGGGCACAGAGGGGTGTGGTGCCAATCGCGGAAATGGAGATGTTGTCTACGATGGGTAGAATCGCGAGGTTCAGCATTGGCACCACACCCCTTTGTGCCACACCCCTTTCCGACCTTCCAGGAACAGATCTGGAAATAGGAAAGAGGTGGGGCACAGAGGGGTGTGGTGCCAATCGCGGAAATGGAGATGTTGTCTACGATCGGTAAAATCGCAAGGTTCAGCATTGGCACCACACCCCTTTCTGCCACACCCCTTTCCGACCTTTGGCAGCGCGCACAAGGGGGTTGGAGGGAGGGGGGAGGACTTCTTAGAGGGAGGCTGCTTTTTAGAAGGCGCCGGCCCTACATCTGTAGATAAGGCCCGCGGCTTCTACGAAGCCGGGTTGCTTCCAAGAAGCCTTCCCCCAACCCCCCTCTGCGCGTGGCTGGAACCTTCAAAACGGAGAGGGAGAGAAGGGAGGGGGCCCGCGCCCTTCGCGCGCGGAGCCGGCCGGCCGCGTTGTCGTCGCCGCCGCGGCTGTTCGTCATCGTGGTCGTCGTTGTCGTCGGCGGTGGCGTTGTCGTCGTCTTCGTCGTCGTCCTCATCCTCCTCCATCTCCTCCTCCATCTCCTCTTCCTCGTCCGTTTCATCCTCCTTTTTCCCCTCTTCCTTCTCCTCCTCCTTCTCCTCCTCCTCCTCCAACCTCCATCTCCTCTTCCTCGTCCGTTTCCTCCTCCTCCTCCTCCTCCTCTTCGTTCTCGTCCTTCTCCTCCTCGTCCTCCTCCTCCTCCTCCTCCTCCTCTTCGTCCTCGTCCTCGTCCTCCTCCTCCTCCTCCTCCTCCTCCTCCTCCTCCTCCTCCAACCTCCTCCTCCTCCTCCACCATATCATCCTCCTCCTCCTCCTCCTCATTCCCCCCCATCCGCGGCTCGCAGCCGCCAGGGGGATGGCAGAACGGGATTGGAGAGATCGAGAATGGATGCTGGGTTTGTTTTCCACCGCCACCACCAGGAGGAGGGGGAGGGGGTCCTCCTCCTCTTCCTTTTTCCTCCTCCTCCTCCTCCTCCTCCTCCTCCTCCTCCTCCTCCTCTCCTCCTCCTCATACTCCACCTCCTTCCCCCCTCCAACTTATGGTGATGGTGGTGGAAAGCAGGCCCATCAACGGAGAAACGCCACTGAGAAACGCCGGAATCACGGTTCCTGGCTTTGTCAAGCGCCCCGTCCCTCCTTTCCCACGACCGGCGACCGCCAGCATGGCAGGAACCAGGTCTTCGGACAGAACGAGGTCGGAAAACACCAAAATCCTGGTTCCCCGCTCTGTCTGGCGCCCCCGCTCCCACGTCCCCGCGACGGGATGGCGGGCACCAGGTCTTGGGAGAGATCGAGGCTAGCAAAACCAGAAATCCTGGTTCCCCGCTGTCTGGCGCACCACCTCCGCGTGCTCACCACGAGTGCTCTGTCTCTGTGTCGCTGTGTTATGCGTCTCTGTATTCTGTGCCACAATGTCTCTGTGTTCAATGTCTCTGTGTTCTGTGCCATTGGACGTCTGCGTTCTGTGTCTGTCCGTCTCTGTGGTCTGTGTCTCCGGGTCCCTCTTGTCTTTGTCTGATGTGCATATGTGTGTGATTTGCTTTTGTGTATCAATGTGTTATGTGTCTCTCTGCTCCTGTGTTATGGTGCTCTTTATCTGTGTTATGTGTCTCTGTGTATATCATGGACATAATGTTCTCTGTCTCTGTGCTCTTTGCGTCTGTGTCTCTGGTGCTGCTTTCTGGCGCTCAGTGTTGCTGCTTTCTGGTGCTCTATTTGCTCTGTGTCTCTGTGTTCTGATGCTCTGTGTCTATGTGGTATGGTGCCTCTGTGTCTGTGCTCTGGTGCTCTGCGTCTATGTGGTATGGTGCCTCTGTAACTCTGTGTTTTGGTGTTGTGTTCTGGTGTGTTGTGTCTCTGTGATCTGGTGCTCCATGTCACTGTGTTCTGGTGCGTCTGTGTACTGGTGTTATGTGTCTGTGTGGTGGTACTCTGTCCCTGTGTTTGGTGGTGTCTTGTGTCTCTGTGTTCTGGTGTTCCATGCGCTATGTTATGGTGCTATGTGTCGCTGTGATGTTCTGTGCCTCTGTGTGATGGTGCTTATGGTGCACTGTGTCTCTGTGCGCTCTGTGTCTCTGTGTTATGGTTGTCTGTGTCTGTGGATTATGGTGTTATGTGCCTCTGTATTGTGTTATGGTGCTCCGATGATGGTACCCAGTTGTCGTTCTTTGCTTTGCCGCCTGAACGAATCGCTCCTTCGCTTGAGGAAGCGTCTGCTCGCTCGGACGATGCACCCGCCAGTCTCTGGAGAGGAGGGACAACCCGGGGAGTCGGCGCGAAAAGCAGCCCGCGAGATTGGCCTTCACCCTGAGCCCTGCCGAACATTAGGTCGGGCATGCCCCCCTATACA